TGAGTAAGAAAGAATTAGTGATATCGAAAAAGCTTTACAGAATAAAAAGATGGTTCTGCCGTAACATCTCAGTATTTTTAAGAGCTGTGTGATGCAGTCAGATTAAAGCAAGTTGGTTTGAAAAGGAATATTCTGGTCATGTCATAGCGAATTCATAGTTAGAGAAACAGATAGAAAATAATCGCGCTTTTAGTTTAGAACATTGCCTTTTTTATGCTATAACATTTGCTCATGAACTTTTTCACCTCTGAACTCCCGAAATCATTGTTTTTCTTTACAATTCGTATTTTTTTGTCTCCACTCTGTTCACATATTTTGCTTCCTTGTGACTAATACCATTCTTCCCAGCAGCCTCGATTCCGGCAGCAGCTAACATTTGTCATCCAGGCTGGGAAGGGCCAGCGATACCCTGTAGGCCAGTTGAGATGCGTGGTTTTTGCTGATATAACTTTAAAATCAAGTGTAGTTACCTACTCCTTGATCCTGTATTTAACTATTTAAGCAGTTAAAGAAAAAATGTTTCGGTTAACGTAATAAATACTTATTAACTAATTTTAAACCAGTGCCTGAATCTACTGAAGAATTTCTTTGGATACACCCAGTATTTTTGCATTGTTAGCATCTTGGAAAGGTGTTCCTAGTTCCATTTTGGCTTTCATCACTGTTTACTTACAGGGTGTTATGAAGGAAAATATTTTGACTAAAACAGGGTTTGTTTTCTTTAGGTTAAACATAGCACAGATGCATTTGATTCGATTGTTCAGTACGGTATGCATTTGTTTTTGGCATAACTTGCATCGGCTTAGTGGAAATATTCTACTTTGTAACATTTTGAAAGTGCGCTTAAAGGCATTGTAGACTTTGTCGTATTATTAATCGAACAGCGTAAAATTTCTCAATACTGTTTTAATGTATATATTTTTTCAATGTATGTTTTTGTTTTTTATGTATCTGACTGAAAGGATTTTATTGCATTTTACCACGATCCTTAATTTTTAAGACGATGAAACCAAAACCAGACGTGGTTCTCAGCACTGATGCCGAATATAACCTTCGAAACGTGGAAAAAGGAGTAAGTTCGCCTTTACTTTTCGTTAATCACGCGTTTCTGAAATGTTCTCTCAAGGCTGATAGAACGAAGGCTGCTTACTGCATAGGTTTCTGGTACCCCTTGTTTCAGAAGCGGGTACTCCATGGCGGACGCACAAACTGCTCGTTATTTTTATGCGATAGCGTATGAGGAGTGTTATCTCCTGAAACATCGTTCGTAATGAGCGTTAGCAATTAACGAACAAAGTGTTTCGATGCCTTTCAAGTGCTCAAATGCCATGGAGCTGTGTCCTGTTTAAATGATTCCCTTAGTCAACTAGGAGCAACTGAGCGGTGCAGGGCATTGGGAAATCTGGACTTAATTTTGTATCGAACAGTTTCATAATACAGATTGATATAATTGTTTCATATATACATATTTATACCTACACAGTCATTATGCTTCGATTGGTCAGAACACGGGTACGTGTTGAACAAAAAACAAGCAACAAGAAATAATTCCTATATTTTGCACAAATGCAATATTAGTTAGGTCGAAAAGTCAAGTGTGTTTTATGCAAAAAATTTGTTCTAGGATTTCGTCCCGCTAACCTTCGAGTCAAAATAAATAAACACTTTTATTTTTTGACTCAAGCATGGTTCGGAAACCCAGATGTAAGACGAAAGGAAAGTATTTATTATTAGTCAGCGCGTTTGGTTACCAAAATCGGTAACATGACCGAATAAGTGAAAAACTCAATTTAACGCTTTTATATGATAATAAAGTTAAATAACATTATCTTAACCGAAAGTTCTGTCACTCACGAAATATCATTTTTGCTTTTTTCGCAAAACTTTTACTTGAGGCTTTTATTTTTTCAGTTCTGATGATCTCCAGATGA